AAGTGATGCTGTGAATCCAGTGGTAGAGCTCTACCCTTGAGTTGGAGAAACTGAGGGACAGTGCTCAGGCCCAGCATTCAAGCCCCACAACTGGACAACAACAACAACAACAAAAAGATGGTGATTTGTAAGGTACCTTAGCCGGGAGCTGGTGGCTTGTGCCTGTACCCTAGCTATTCAGAAGGCTGAGATCTGAGAATGGCAGTTCAAAGCCACCCCAGGTAGGAAAGTCTATGAGACTTATCTCCAATTAATCACCAAAAAGAATGGAAATGGAGCTGAAATTCAAGTGGTAGTGCACTAGCCTTGAGCAAAAAACTCAGGGATAACGTCCAGGCCGTAAGTTCAAGTCCCAAGGCCAGCACAAAAATGAACAAAAAACAAAGCCAAAAAATACTGCCACCTTAATCATATGTGAATAAGATCCTCTGCTTACCCAGTTAGTGATTTCTGCAGCATTAAGGTGAAGCCACATGGCTAGGAGTTCACAAAACCATCAGAAGCACAGAATGTAAATGAGGGTGTTGTGACAAGGATGTGGGCCAAGGATAGAAGCAGAACAGGGGTCAGAAAGCTCTTGTGGAAGTTCCTTGTGGCTGGCAGCTGGGTCCAACCCTGCCCTGCAGCCTGATACTATCTATCAACCTGCAAATATTATTTCCTTTATAGAGCTGTCTCCTGGCTTAAATGTTCTTTTTTTCATCAGAAATTTCAAAAATACTCTGCTCATCCCTATTTCCTGGTACTGTTCTGCCCTCAATTACCATTATTTTTTTCTTTTCTTTTTAAAATTATTTTTATTGGACTGGGAAGGTGGCTCAGTGGTAGAGTGCTTGCTTTGCATGTATGAGGTCCTGGGTTCGATTCCCTAGCACCACATAAAGCAGAAAAAGCCAGAAGTGGCACTGTGGCTCATGTGGTACAATGCTAGCCTTGAGCTGAAGAGCTGAGGGGCAGTGCCCAGGCCCAGAGTTCAGACCCCACAATGGAGGGGGAAAAAATTAGTGTTATTATTAAGGTATACAAAGGAGCTACCATTACCATTATTTCTTTATTTTGTTTTTAGTTAACTATTTATTTTGTGCCAGTACCAGGGTTTGAACTCAGGGCCTCCCACCCCAACTTGGCTTTTTCACTCAAGGTTAATGTTGTACTATTTAAGCCCCATTTTCACTTCGGGCTTTTGACTGGTTAATTGAAGATAAAGAATATCACAGATTTTCCTGCCTGGGCTGTTTTCAAACTAGATACCACAGCTCTCAGCCTCCTGAGTAACTAGGATTACAGGTGTGAGCCCCCTCGCCCAGATCACTATAATTAACTATAGTTATTTATAAACTTGTACTAGTCTCATCAGATTGCACCTCACTATGCATGACGATGGAAATCCGCTCTGTTGCTCCCCTGGCATGGCCCACTGACCCTCCTTGCCTTGCCTTGCCTCCCCCCCACCATCCCCAACTTTCCCAGAATTCTCCTCTCTGAAATCTTATTGGCTAATATCATCCTGAAAGCGTGCCACCCTTGGCACCAGAAGGATACCCTACATCCCAAACAGAGCAGTTTGCCACAACCACATTCCAAGGAACGCTCATTCCTCAACTGTACTTGTAGCCTGTTCTAACCCTAGGTTCTCCACTCATTTCTCCCACCTGGCTCACTGTTACTTGGAGTCCTTCTGCAGCAATGATTAAAGCCTGTTCTGATTTGTTGAGGTTTCTGCCTTCTTTCCTTTCGTCCGCTTGATCTTTCCTAACACTTGATTTCACACAATCTGTGGCAAAGAGCCACACAAAGCACGTGTGTTCTTTAAATTTATGCTCACGTCAGGTATGGTGGAAATCCTAGCACCTGACTGGAGGATAACAGATTTGAGGCCAGCCTACATATAGGAAAACCCTGTCTCAATAATAATAATAACAACAGCAGCAGCAGCTGGACACCAGTGGCCTATACCTATAATCCTAGTTATTCACAATGCTGAGATCTGGGGACTGAGGCTCAAAGCTAGCCTGGGTAGTAAAGTCCATGAAATTCACTCCAATTTACCAGTGAAGAGCCAAAGTAACTCCATTTTGAGATTAACCCCACCATCTTGTGCTGGGCTGCCCTCAGAGTAACCCCGAGAGAGAAAGAAAAAAAAAACAACTCTCAGATAAACCGCAGGTTGTCACCACCCCTGCCCACCCTTAAGAAACAGAACAATTGCCCAAGTGTTCCAGGAACAGAACATAACAGTTTTGCAACCATCAAACTGTCAAATGTGGACCAATAGTTCAGAAAAAGGGCAATGTGGTTAGTGTAGACTCAAACCTCAGTACATGGGCCAATAAAAAAATGACTATGCATCTTTATAAATGTTAACCAATCATGTAACTGCTTGTGTGGAAATTTTCTAAACTTGTTTGTTCAATACTATAAAAGCTGTGCTGATTTTGTGCTCGGGGCCTCTTAGCGTCACCAGTTACTGAGTGCGCAGAGCACCAAGCTCAAGCTTGCAAATACCGACTCTTCTGCTGTTTGCATTGGTCGTGGTCTCCGATGGTCTTTCGGGGGTCCTGAAAGTGTACAACATCAGCAAAAAGCCAGAAGTGGAGATGTGATTTAAGTGGTACAGCACTAGCCTTGAGTGAATAAGCCCAGTGAAAGCAGAAAGCCCTGAGTTCAAGCTCCATTACTGACATCCACACACAAAATAAATAAATAGATAATGAAAATAAATGCTCTATGGATTTTACTTGTACTGGCTTCTGATCTTCAGGACAGCTTGATGATATTTTCCATTTCTAGACTCTATCACTGAAGCCCAGACAGGTATATGATTTGCTCATGATTGTAGAACTAGTATGTATTAAATGTATGAATAGATCTATGGTAGTCTATCTTCATACTTACCATTCTTATCATTAAGGATGGAAATAAAATCCCATTTGGATCTGATGTAAAACTCACCAGTAACTAATGCAACTGGGCACTGGTGCTTCAGACCTTGTAATCATAGCTACTCAGGATGCTGAGAACTGAGGCCCAGACAGGAAAGTCTGTGAGACTCATCTTCAGTTAACCAGCAAAATGCTTAAGTGGAGCTAGGGCTTAAGTGGTAGAGAGCCAATCTTCAGTGAAGATTGAGCATAAGGCCCTGAGTTCAAACTCCAGTACTGGCATACTGGCACACACCCTCCCCCCCCCCCCCCCCACACACACACATGAAAAGAAAGAATGAGAGGAAGGAAGGAAAGAAAAGGCTGGGGGCGGTGGCTCACACCTATAATCTTAGCTACTCTGGAGGCTAAGATTTGAGGATCCCAGTTCTTAGCAAACCTTGACGAGAAATTCCATTAGATGCTTATCTCCAATAAACTACTCAATAAAAGTTGGAAGTAGCACTGTGACTCATGTAGTTGAGTGCTAGCCTTGAGCACAAAGAGGCTCAGGGACACCACTCAGGCTAAGTTCAAGCCCCAGGGTCAGCAAAAAAGAAAAGAGAGCCGGGTGCCAGTGGCTCATGCCTGTAATCCTACTCAGGACGCTGAGATCTGAGGATTGCGGTTTCAAGCCAGCCTGGGCAGGGAAGTCCATGAGAGTCTTATCTCCAATAAACCACTAGAAAAACCGGAAGTGGTGCTGTAGCTCAAATGTTAGAGCACTCACCTTGAGCTGAAGAGCTGAGGGACAATGCTCAGGCCCAGAATTCAAGCCCCATGACCAACCAAAAAAAAAAAAAGAGAGAGAGAGAGAATCTTGGCTCACAGCTGTAATCCTAGCTACTGAGGAGGCTGAGATCTGAGGATCAGGGTTTGAAGCCAGTCCAGGCAGAAAAGTCCCAAGAGACTCTTCTCTGATTAATGCAAGTGCCCAAGGACTAGCCTTGAGCAAAATAGCTCAGGTATAGCACCCAGGCCCTGAGTTCAAGGCCCAGGACAAGAAAGAGAGAGAGGGAGGGAGGAAGGAAGGAATCAATCAAACAAGCAAGCAAGCCAGGCTGAGATCTGAGGATCACAGTTCAAAGCCTGTTTGGGCAGGAAAGGCCATGAGACTCTTATCTCCAATAAACCACTAGAAAACTGGAAGTGGTGCAGTTGTGGCTCAAGTGGCAGAGCGCTCGCCTTGAGTGAAGAGCTGAGGGACAGCGCCCAAGCCCAATGTTCAAACCCCATGACCGACAAAGAAAGGAAGAAAGAAAGAAAGAGGGAGAGAGTGAGGGAGAGAGGGAGGGAGAGAGGGAGGGAGAGAGGGAAGGAGGGAGGAAGGAAAAGAAAAGAAAGAGGGAGGGGAGAGGAGAAAAGTAAAAGAACAATAATGCCAGTTATTTCCCTCAGGTCTCTACTGAGTTCCAAATTCTCCCACGGGAGAATCGAGGATTTCTCTTGTTTGGACAGTGACTGCTGCCTCAGGGCCAAGAGCTTGGGGGATGACAAGCCAAATCTCATAGTTTAGAGGGCCTCGTGCAGATTAACTAGATTGTTCTCCTTCGCCTTCAACCGTGGCAACTCCTAATGGACTCGAGAGTCCCGATGCCATTGCCATGGTAACTGCAGTTTCTCTGTGAAACGTCGTGGTGTTTCCACTTGCTGGGCAGGCTTCCGGTGCCGTCCCGAGGTGTCCGGCCCACCCCTCCCTGGGGTCCCCGAGGTGGGTACTGCGAAGGCCCGCGGCGGGGCGCGAGGCCCGGACACCGGCCGGAGAGGCCCCGCGCATGCGCCAACGGCGCCCAGCCAGCAGCGCCGTTCGCAAACCCCTACTCCCCGGGGTCCCCGGTTTCCTGTCACCCCCCCTCACTCGCGGCGACTGGGCAGGGTTTTACTGGCGGTTTTGGAGAGGCATCTGGAGACTGAGACTGATGGAGGCCGGGGATGCTCGCCGAGGGGAGGCCCGCCCCGCAGACCCCCGCTGCACAACGGTCCTCGGCTACGAGACCCTCAGCACGAACGGGCCTCGGTGGGGAGGGGAGGGCCGCGCGGCCCGGCTGCCCGGAGGGGAGGCGGGGCGGGTGCACTCACAGTTCCAGGAGCTGACTGACCCGCCGCTGGGAAGGCATCGCGGCCCGCCTCTCTCGCAGGCCTCTTCCTCAGTCTCAGAGCCACCGCCACCCCAGCCAGGGACCATCGGCCAACTGCCGTCTCCCGCGCGAGGCGTAGGTCCTGGTGACGTCACGCTGAGCCCGGTGACCAGGGCGTCCCGGGCGGGGGAGCGTCGTGGCCTCCGCGACCGACCTATGGAGGGCTGTGCTGAAGGAGTTGTGAGAAAAGATCGACGAGCCTTAAGCCATCGCGAAGCACCATGGGAGTTGTAGTTCTTCCTGCGCCGGGGGCTCAGGGAAGTTTCTCCAGAGTTCCAGTGGCACAGCAGCCTCAGAGAGTTCCGTGGTGTCCAGGGACGGCCGAGAGGTCAAGGTCATAGGACAAAGGGCCACCGAGAGGTCAACATGATTGGTGTCGCTCCTGCTGCAGCGATGCGCTGGTGGCTGGGCCCGGCTCCTGGCAGTGCACAGGCAGGCTCGCGGGGAGGGGAGTACGGATCCCTGTGCTTTCATACCGAGCTTGTTTAGAGGCTCCCAGAGTGACTGCCCTTTACTGGTTTAGTTCTCGAGTATGATGTTCTATGGGAACTGAATCAGGGAGACAAAGAAGTTAAGCTTTAAGAGATGGAGTTGTGAGTGTAAGGTAAACAGGTCTAATTAAGTAGCTGATGGAGAGCACACCAGATGATATTGGGGCTGCCCTGCCGTGTATTGTGGAGAGCACAAGGCCAAAGGGGCAACCCGTCCGCAGGCTCAATGGGGCAAAGGAGGGGCTGGGAAGGTGGCTCAGTGGTAGAGCGCTTGCCTTGCATGCATGAGGCCCTGGGTTCGATTCCTCAGCACCACATAGGCAAAAAGAAAAAAGCCGGAAGTGGCGCTGTGGCTCAAGTGGTAGAGTGCTAGCCTTGAGCTGAAGAGCTGAGGGACAGCGCCCAGGCCTAGAGTTCAGGCCCCACAACCGGACCCAAAAAACAAACAAACAAACAAACAAAAAAACCCATGGGACAAAGGATCCATACTGGATCCAGATATGACCTTAGGTCCTGGGACCCTCCCCAGGTCCGATGGGAGTTGTGAGGGGGTGGCGGGATGGCCAAGGACGTGACCATGGAGGAGGGGGCGGGGGTGACTGTTTCCAGGTGTACCAGTTACCTAGGTAAAGCAAGTACTGGGAGGAGATTTATGCAGGAGGTAGGGAGGGCAGGTTCCAGGGCAGACTGTAATAATTCCCACCAAAAATTCAAGGTACCTGAGTTACTATTCACTGGCAGAAAGTTCCTTCCATTTTCTAGCCTCAGTCCCTCCTGCAGGAAACTTACCCTCTTCCCTGAGCCCCTTTCCCTTGAAAAAGAATATCCATGGGAACAAAAATGTGAAATCAGAAACATCAAGCCAAGGGCCCGTGGCTCACACCTGTAATCCTAGCTACTCACAAGGCTGAGATCTGAGGATCACATTTCAAAACCAGCCCAGGCAGGAGAGTCTGGGAGACTTTTCACTCCAGTAAACAATCAGAAAACGAAGTGGTACTGTGGGTCAAGTGGTGGAGCGCTGGCCTTGAGCTGAAAAGCTGAGGGACAGCGCTCAGGCCCAGAGTTCAAAACCCACAACCTAAAATAAAATAAAAATAAAAAAGCAATCATCTCTCCCTCTCTCAAGTTTCTCAGGCTGGCAACTTTGCAGTTTACCACAAACTTTACTGAAGGCCACTGACAACCTTGAGGCTTATCACCAGCTGTACTGAGTTGCTGTATTAGTCAGGAACATATAATAAAAATCATTTCGGGAGCTGGGAGGGTGGCTCAGTGGTAGGGTGCCTTGCATGCATGAGGCCCTGGGTGTGATTTCTCAGCACCACATAATCAGAAAAAGCCGGAAGTGGCACTGTGGTTCTAGTGGTTGAGCACTAGCCTTGAGCTGAAGAGCTGAGAGACAGCACCCATGCCCAGAGTTCAGGCCCAGGACCAACAACAACTGTTGTAAGGTAAATCATCCCAGAAGTTACATTTTAAAATATAGAATATTGGAGTCTTTATTATACAGTTAACAGGCTGCAGACTGAAGTACCCCATTTTCGGATGCCCCCTCACAGACCACCAGAGACCACGATCAATGCAAACAGCAAAGAGTCGTTTATTGCAAGCTCGAGCTTGGTCCTTGGCGCACTCCGCAACCAGTGACACTAAGAGGCCCCGAGCATAGAATCAACACAGTTTTTTATAGTATTGAACAAACAACTTTAAGGAACTTTTACATAAGAAATTACATTATTGGTTAACATTTAAAGCAAGCTAAGCTAGGCAAATATGATTGGTTGACCTTTACAGGAAAATATCCTTGGTCCATAGCTTGACCACAAACGGTTATGAGTCACACCTGGACCAACAGTATGCATGGCATGTTTCGCCCTGGGCTCTGAAGAACTGGTTGGTCGGAACATTATATGGTTTTAACTGAAACTCTTAGCTTATGGTCAGTCAGGGGCAAAGTCACTTGGGGGCTAGCACCTGCTCCAAGAATTGTGTATGGCTTTCTGTCATAAATTCCTAGCATTGGGGCTAAAGTGGGCCACGAGTTAAGTCGCAGAACTGAGATGGGGTCTTAAGTAAAATGGAATTGCTTAGGTTTTTCACAGACTGCCAGTTGTTACAAAGGCCTGCAGCAGGCAAATACACATAACACAGCTAGGAAACATGCTAAAGAGGAAGAAATAACAAGAACAATACCAAAAAGCCAATTCAGCTCCAATGGAGAGTTGAATTGGGATGCCATGATGACTGGAGACAGCCAGGAGACAGGACATAGGACATGGTCACAGAGACACACGTGGCATGGTGTCCTGGCAGCTGGACTGGTCTAGGCCTAAATAGTAGGGATGGCACCGGGTGGGCAGATCCTCAGGAAACTCCCAGTCCCAGGCAGTGGACTGACAGATTCAGTAACCAATCAGCCAAGTGCCCACCCTTGCCTCCAGGGGTCCGGGCACACCCCTTACCTGGGAGGCAGGTGATGGGCAGGGGCTTTTCCTGCCCCCATCATGAAGACAAGATGCCAGACCCTACAATCCACCATGTGACAAATATGGCACTAGCCAGACCTGACCTCCTTACTTCATAACAAAAATCATTTCTGCAAAGAAAATTTCAGTGCACCCCCAACCATGGGAATGAGTTTCTAATGTTTTGAGAACCATGGAACAAGTTTCTAATGTTTTGAGATTTAAAATATACTACCCCTTCCCAAAGTTATGTTTGACTTCAGTAAGCCAAAGATATGTGTTAGGGAAATGAGCTCCCTTCCCATAGCTTAGTCCACCCCTTCCCTTCTCCACAGCTTAGCATGCTCCCTTCCTAGGCAACAGTAGGCCTAAGTAGTAAAGGCAGTAAATAATCAACTTCCAGCCCCCTTTACCTTGGGATGGCGCTTCTCTGGGGCAGCTACCACCATATAAGACAACAGGAGCCCCTTAGAGTGACCTTCAGGTCTGGGCAGCTGCAGGACCCTTATCTACTATTTGGACAGCAGCCGTATATCCTAGTCTGCCATGATGAAGCCCCTGGCCCACATGTCCACACCAGGGTCTTTGCCTCCTAGTCTCTTCTAGCCCCTTCTAACCCCACCCCCCTAGGTTATATAGGTCACTTCAGACAGTAGCCAGTGCTGCTTCTCACTTCCCTCTTGTGAGAAGGAGCCTTGCCAGCCTCTTTTCCCAGAAATAAATGTACTTGGCTATCTACGTGATTCTCTGGCAAAGTCTAATAATCTTTCATTTAATCTTGCAAAATGTTTTGACTTTTTGTAATGTCAATAGCATTGATAGTATTGATCATGCTAAGTCAAAATTAGGTTTTGCCTATGCTCTTGTGACTCAAGGCTAAGTTTTGCTTCTGTAACCTTGCTTGTTTGCTTTGGTAAACATCACCTACTTGTAACCCCTTCCTATAAAAATCCCCATGAAGGGGCTAGGAAGGTGGCTCAGTGGTAGAGCGCTTGCCTTGCATGCCTGAGGCCCTGGGTTCCATTCCTCAGCACCACATAAGCAAAAAGAAAAAAGCCGGAAGTGGCGCTGTGGCTCAAGTGGTAGAGCGCTAGCCTTGAGCTGAAGAGCTGAGGGACAGTGCCCAGGCAGGCCCAGAGTTCAGGCCCCACAACTGGACCCAAAAAAAAAAAAAAATCCCCATGAAAAGCAAAGGGGGCTGTTCTCCAGCTCTGTGGGCTAGGGACAGATGCCATTTGGCTAATAGAAAGGCTTCTAGCCAGTTTGATTGAGTGCTGGTGACTCCTTTCATTGATGCGGGTTCAAGTCCCACTGGTCCTGGGAAGCTGGAATACTACACAGACCTTACAGGAAGTCTTTATTAGAAAGTAACTGCAAGTGGACTCATGTCCCAGAGAACCCGCAGCCCCATGTGCAGTTATTACAAAGCTTATTAAAAGTAAAAAACACATCCAGGCAGACATCATATGGTATGGGGACTAGCAAAGTGTGTTCTACTGAAGCAAAGCAATAGGGGGAACAATCTGGGGCAATCAAGGCACAGTTAGCTGTGCCTTGGAACAATCAAGGACAACCAGGGGCAAGTTATTCTCTGGAGCAAAACTTTTCTGGAGCTAAACAACCAACCCATGATGCACCTGCAATTCAAAGAATACACTTTTATAGTGCTTAACAACTCATAACAGCTATAGTTCAAAGAAGTCCTCTATAGTTCAAAGAACTGGCTGAAAATTCCCCAGCATGTTATGATGCCAAGATGGTGATGAGGACAAGATGGCATTACTTAGCTCCAGTATCCATGTTTCATTCTATAAATCATTAATATAAAGATATGCAAAGATGAACTTACTCGGCCTTATTTTAGTGAAGAGGACATTCCATGGCTCAGAACGGCATTGAGGGGAAAGAGTAGACTTCAGGTTAGAGAGAAGGGGCATCTTTCAGGTAGAATTTATTCTTTTTCTCTGTTTTTTGTTTTGTTTTGTTTTTTTCCCCATCCACTTTTGTAGAATTACTTTGTTAATTCTGTGTCAAAGCTTCCCTTAAATTCATCTAACATTCGGATGCTGCAGGGAGGAGAGTCCACCAATCA